TTCTTCTGTTTGTCTGTCTATTACTTGCTCACTGATCCCTATTTTTAAATATTTAATCTACGCCCCTGATAGGAATACTGAAGAATGAGGGCTGCAATCTTTATACCTAAAACTGCCTACTTTTGCCACCGCGCATCCACGCCATTTTAAAATTTCCGCCAGCTTCCAGCGTCAGGCCTGTACTTAACTCTCAAAAATTTAACAAAGCTTTAATGAAAGCTTCACACTTAAATATTTCTGTTATTTTTAACAGTTGTATTCTGATTTCATTTCATTAATTTTTTCATTATATATTGTGTTTCTACTTGAAACTGAAATTGTATAATTTTCCCTAGACAATTGGTCGCCGTCAGAGTATCCAGCCTGATGTAATTAGGATGAATCAATTTGGATGCAGTGAACGCCGGCATTATGAGGTAAGACTAGTATAATTGAATGAAAACTGCTTACACAAACTTCGTTATCAAAGAACTAATTACGCGAATGCTATATAAGCTAAAGAGCCACTCGAAATCCAAGCAGCAGCTTCTGAAACTCTCAAACAGCAACGTTATACAGTTTGTAGAAGGCACCTTGCATTATGTAGATATACGTACGACGTACGTATAATAGTAAATGTCGAGAAGTTCAATTTAAGAAGTTTTCACTACCAGATGCTTGCACTTGTAACTTTAATAATATCGCATTCTCTACGTTGAATCGCTTACAACCACTCGTTTTCTTAACGTTTCTTGTTGTCGTTGATTATCAATTCTTGCTGCATATCTAAACAAAACCTTCAAGTCAAAACGCAAAATTCTCGTACCTATTATCATTATTATATACAACCTTTAAGATTATTTCTTGATTTACTCATTTTTTACATGCACAATTCGATTTAATTGAAAAAAATGTTATCTACTTATAAAGATCTTTAAGGAATGTTATAATAATCAAGCAATTTTTAGTTTTCTCATAGAGAGATGCGACACAAGAACATGTTTTTTGATTGTCAAATTGTAGATTTATTATATGTATTGTCCTTCAATGTGTCGTCAGAATACAGAGCATAAAGCAGGGCGTACACTGATGAATCGACTCGGATCGGAACGGTAGGATCAGAACGGCAGGGTGCCCCACGTATTACATCAGCACTATCGACGCATTCAGTTAATATTCATCTTATTTTGGAAGCCACAATCGACAATGGTTTACTCCTTCGGTCCGTGCTGACTTAGTTGACAGTGCATTAGCAGAAACTGCCAATCGTACCGTTGGGAGCCGTCCGGTCCGAGCGAATTCAGTGTGCGCCCAACTTAATACTATAGAAACGCAAGGAATGTGATGTAATGGTACGAATGGGGTATTACGGTACGTATACACGAACCGATCTAAACGATACTTTTATGTTTGTTTATTATCTGATTCACGTTGTCAAGCAAGTTCTTCGAGTGTTAATGCGGCCCATACGCTCTTCGGGTTTATCTCAATAAAAACCGTTGTTCATGCGTCTGACGAACTCCCATGACATAACAGCAGTGCCGCCACGGTCTCACTTCTTGCCTTTATACCGTTTTAAAAGCATATCCGATTACTGACATTTACTAGACGTTTATTTATCGCTTCGGGCCGTCCGAGACGTCCGTCCGTCCGACGTCCGCGTCTTGTTGTTGGTTATTATTCGGATCGTTCGATAAATTTCCTTAAAGGACTCAAAACGAACTCGTCTATATTTATACTCGGTTATTTTTCCAATTATTTCATACATCTGGTCTACTATAACAATTATCCAACAACAACAATTAGTGGCTACTTCATCATTGTTGTTTAAATTTCAAGACTGTTACCACAATATCTTTAAAAAAGATATGATTTTCTCTGTTGCCTTAAAGCGTTTAGTTTGGATTTGTTTTGGGGAGTGCTCCAAATCGAAATTAAAATAGGACGTCCCCTTCACCCTCGTGAATGTGTTGGAGATAACCCTTTGTACATATTCCTAATAAATACATAATTTCTTTAGAAGCATTTTGTCCTACTGAAGCTTTTAAGAATATTTTCATACTTTTTTTCCTATTCCGTCTTATTGTCCCATAATTGTTATGGTAAACAACATCAGAAGACTCTTCGAAATTAAAATAAAGGTCACATTAATCAATGTGTATGTTACTCTTGATGACAAACGCTGTTGTTTGTGCTTGCTTTATCATTTTTTCGTTAAAATCATCTACTGTTTGAGTTAGCACGCTATTGAATGACAACGGAGATTCACATCAGTTTCTCCTGAAATGTAAATGAAAGCAACTAACTGTAAAAACAGGAAGAGAAGCTTCATGCGTCGTCAGTTACCGCGACAGTCGCGTCTCAACGTAGGAAAACGCGTCGCCGTCGTCGAAATTTCTTATCTCTCATTCTCGGTGCTTGGATACGAAGAAGGAATTCGTTAGATATGGCAGAAAAGCGCATTGACAATGGGGCACAGATTCAATTAATGCGAACAAAAGATTCGTTCGTGCTTCATCCGAATCGCGGTTGCAAGAACAATTGCATTAGTTGTGTAGAACACAAAGCTCCGATTTCGGTTCATGTCATTTTCTAGTTCTAATAGCTATGAATTGCCAATTAGAGGCAGCAGGGAGCCGGGCGAGCATTTAACCGAATTACTCTAGAAATTGCGATCTGCTGCCTCCTAATTGGTTTTTATAACGATTCCATTACGAGAAAAACGTATTGGATTACCACCTTTTTCAGTCAGGTCCGATTTCGTTTTAAAATTACATTCCTAGATACGATTTTCCTTCATGGTCACTTTTCTTTTTCCATTTCTACAAGTTCCCGTTAAAGTTAAATGGAAATCCATAAGAGTTGTTGATCTTCAATCTGAGTATGGCTAGAAGCTTATGCATAGCTTTAGTCATCTATGGTAGTAAAGTAGTTTTACTTTAAGGCATTACTCATAAAGGTTTTGGTTGATTCATCACCATCAAAAGGTCACCAGTCCTAAGACTGGTTGGACACGTACTTCCACTTTTTTCTATCTTGGGCAGCTAATCTTCTTTGGATGATTAATAATTTGTAAAACATTGCGATTCCAATCAAATGTTTTATCAGAACAAACAGGCGGTCTTAGATATAAGGTTTTCCAGTTATGGAAAGGAATTTTAAACTACATTCCGCAAATTTGTTAGTCTAAAACATTTTTACGTTTTATCTATGCACCTGATGTTGAATAATTCGGACAGAAGTTTAAATTATTGACTGTAGCCCCTGGGATCAAACATTTCGGGTATTCCCCATGCGTGCAGGGAAGTGACCGCCTCCTGCAGGGTAACAAATCTCCACGGAGTTTAAGGTAACCTCTAACATAAATTCGTGAATGCTAATACCGCCGTACAAGGGCCATAATTTGTCTGCTGTTAGACATCGTACCGACGGGCGGTTTTACACTCTGCTTTACTGGATACTCACTGCATCAGGTATACAATTTACATATAAAAGTTGTACGGACATACGATGAGTACCCAACACGATCTCGTTTTCCTTTCATCGGCTTTAAAAAAAAAATCAAAAAAGGGCGGCGTCCAAAACGAAAGGTTTTATAGGACTGGCGAGCAGGATTAATGCGGCGACAGTAGACGAGAAAGCTTTATGATCACAAGAAGCTTATTAAAGCGGTGAATAAATAATGGACCTTTGCCACTGAATTACATCAGCATTTAAATCGTCTACATCCTAATGTAATGTATGGGACACCAAATAAAAGCGGATAGTATTACACCTCTAAAGTGATACCTAGAATTTTAGCAAGACAACATGATTGATAATTTATCGCAAAAAAATGAATACTGCACACAAACGAATTCTGCAGTAGCTCAACAGATTCTTATTAAAATTTCGAACCGACCGCTTTGTTTTTGAGTCAAACATTCATTCTGTGAGGCATACGACAAATCGATACGCTGGGAAGTAGCAAAATTGTCCATTTACGTAATTGTTTCCTTTATTGTACATTGTAACCATGTGACATTATTGATAGACTTTGTACTCTCTCATATTACAACGGGGAAATAATCTGGAAGGTACCATCTTGTGAATGATAAGTGATGCACCGGTGTATCTCAGTGTTCACTAATTTCATTGGTATAAATTCTGAATCAGATATTCACTGGTTCCAAAAGTGAGAGCGATCGCAGTATTTGACTCTCTTTCAGTCGTCATGGAGATAATAAAGATTAACCAAGTGATAGATAACATTTAATGCTGCATGATCGAAATCGTCATTACATACAGTACGTTACGCTAACAGTTCCTTTTCTTAATCTAAACTGAATTGATATCGCGAATAACGTTTAATTGCAGCATAAAAAAGTTTCGCAGTTCATGAACACTTTGGGGCATCAGTATGAGTAAGTTACGACAGCGTTATCATCTGTTACTGATACCTCAAGTTCTGCATGTGGAACTAAGGTTTTAATTTCGTAAAATAGTGTGAGGTACCGTAACATAGCACATCAAACACAACGCACGAAGCCATAAATTCAGGCACAAGTGTTCGCCCGAATGTTTCGAAAACGTATGCATGCAATTCAGATATGAACAACACGTCTGTTTCCCTGTCAATTACTCTTGCATCTCGAATTTATACATACGCGTATATGTATGCATTGTATCTGTGTGTACATATTTCGGCAGTTAGTGTTCGCACAGTTCTCCGACAGTTGGCGGTACGTCTGTCTGACTGTCTATCCATCAAGATGAGAGGGTAAACATTTACAACTCTATCGATGCACAATGTGGGCACATACATATATTTGTGTGTGTGATACAATCGAGACAAAACAAAGCACCAGTGAATGTTATTGTATTCACGGACCAATTTTCGACTTCTATACCGGTGGAGATTGTATCTCATGGCAACGAGTAGTTGGTCACCTAAACACCAAACGAACTGGTTGCATTATTCTTGAAGACAGATACGTATATATGGTTGGCGTGGTGGCCGGGCGCTTCGATACAACGGTGGTAATTAATACAGTTGAAGAAAAACGGACGGGACAATAAATTAAGATTATCTTTTAACAGTCAGTAATCGCGATCATCTCCGCGTACTCTCGAAACTGGCATTAGTCGTCAGTTGTTCTTTTGATCGTTGCTGTCTCTCGTCGTCGGCCTTCTTCGTTATCTTCAATTGTTTTGCGATTTATGACAGTTGTATAACGACCCACGATGTAATTGATGAAATGGATATTTCATTAAAATGCCTCGGCCGCGATTCTCTCTACTTATGGCCAACAGATAATCATGAACCACGGCTTGAAATAATCGTAAACTATTTTATAAATATGTCTTACATATATAGCAGTAAAAAATTTATGAGTGAAGTACTTTAACTCGCTTAACTTCTTGTTATATATTAATGAGAACGTTTCGAATCATTACC